GGCACTTGGGCCCTTTGTGCCTGGGAAGGAGCCCCAGGTCGAGGCTCAGTTACAGCTGCAGCAGGGACTTGGGGCAGGGCACAGGGGCAGATGCTGTCCCCAGCTGGCACGGGGACACACACAGCAGTGCAGGGAGTGGGGTGGGTGGGGGGTGGGGGTGGCAGCACACCAGGGAGACCATCATGGGCCCCTCCAGTGCCTCAGCGTGAGCTGGCAGGGCTGGGTGAGGCTAAGGTGTCGTCCCTGGGTGCTCACTGCCGTGTGTGGGTGCTGTGCCCTCAGGTGTCCACGTGCCTGCTGGGAATCCAGCACTCATTCCTCACCTCTCCACAGCAGCGACTCAATGAGAGCAGTAGGAAGCCACTCCTCCACCTGGCCCCAGAGTCCATGAGCCCCCAGAGCCTGTGACCATCACACCCTGCTGCTCTGTGTGCCGTAGCACTGGGGTGTCCAGTGGCTCTGCAGGCTTCTGTGACAGGTTTGTGACAGGTTTGGGTGGTTGTACTGTGTGGGGCTCTCAAGCAACACCTCTGTGTGATGTCTGTCTACGTGCCTCAGAGTTGGCAGGGTTTAGCCTGAAGCAGCTGCTGGAGCTGTGGTGGGCTGTGGTTCAGCACTCCTTGCTGGTCCATCGTGGTCAGTGGCTCTGCAGCTGCAGTGGGTTTCGTTCGAGCGCTGTGACCGTCCCTCGCCCAGCAGTGGAGGTGGATGTGCCCCTTGCCCTCAGGGTGTGTATGCTCCTCCCTTCCTGTGCATCCTCTGCTGCATTTGACTGTTTACATTTGTTTTATTGTACATAGATTTGTAAACATAATACCTTTGCCTAAGGTCTTTGTACATAACTTGGGCTTTGTAGCTTTATTTATTCAGCCTCTCTCTGGCATGTTTCCATAGGATGTACCACCCTGGTGCCACAGACGTGATGTGGTTTCAAAAAAACCCGAAAACAAATGAGAGTAATCTTCCAAAAATAAAGTTCTTTCAATGTGGAGTCAGTGGCTTTTGCAGAACTGGAGGCTGTGGCTGTGTTTTCTGCCGAGCTGCAGGGAGGTACTGGTGTTATCCCATGCCTCCATCGCTCTGCGGCTCAGTGTGGGCACGGCCTGTGCTGCAGGCACTGAGCGCTGCGGTGGCACAGCCGAGTCCTGGTGGAGCAGGACGAGCCTGGGGAAGCTTTGGAAGCCTCCAGCTGCCCGACAGGGATTTCTGCCTCCTTGGAGCAGCTGGAAGGTGTTCCCTCCTCTGGGCGGGGCACAGAGCCGCGGGTCGGGCAGTGCTGGGCCGCGGACACTGGGCAGCACAGCCCGTTCCTCCTGGGCCTGCGCTCGGTGCCAGCTCCTTGCGGAGCCTCACACCAACCCGTGACCGGCTCTGGCACGGTGGGGGCAGTGCCGGGAAGGGACAGGGTCACCCTGGCCACGGTCAACCCTCCCTCCCTCCCTCCCCCCACAGGAACCATGGAAAGATGGGAGCAGCACCTGCCCAGCCCCTGCCACTGGCCCTGTACAGAGGTCCCAGCTGCCCCCACAGCCACCACTACTGCTCCATATCCTGTTTTAAACCCACTCACCATCACTCTCACCCTCCCTGCCCCATCGGTCTCTGGGCCCATACTGGTCCCACACCCAGCAATCAGCTCCCACGCTGCCCTGGTGCCTGCAGCTCTGCTCACCTCAGCCTTACCTGACCCTCACTGCCTGGAACAGGTTCTGCACTGTGGATCCCCAAAACACGAGCTTTAAGGGCTCAGAAAAGAGAGCAGACAGACTGAGCTAAGGGCAGGAGTTGGGGCTGTGCCTGTGCCACAGTCCTAAGGGTCAGCACAAGGGCTCAGAGCTCCCTTTGTGCTCCAGCTGGCCAGTGCCAGTGGCCTCAAGGCAGAGGCTCAGCTCTGTCCGAGCCAGTGTGGCTGTATTTAGGTCAAAAGAAAAGGAAAAAAGCCCAAGCAAACAAAAGAGGAAGAAGGGAAAAGGCAGCTTCCAGTCAGATCTCGTTTATTAAGGTCTATGCCCAGAGCTCTTCCAGTAAGTAAACAGAGCAGGCGGCCGCATCTAGAATGAATAAATTTATTGTCTTACAAAAATCATTGTCTAGAAATATGGGTATACAAGAAAACAAGATATTTGCAGTCAGACGCCTGGTGGTCAACAGCCAGTTTGATTAAAAATACCCAAACACACACAATAAAACCTTCGCAACAGATGTTAAAGCTTTGAACCAAACAGGGAAACCCATGGGTTTTGAGCATGTGGCAGAGGAAGTTTCCTAGTTAACACTGATTCATTGTCACTAATATCAATAATACCACTTGGACTAGAGAGGTACATGATATGAAGCACAGTCAAAATTAATACATTAAATCATTGTTATATAGGCAAATTATATAAGTGACCTTGTCTTAGTACTGTAGTGTCTAAGGCACTTTCTGTAATGTCAGTTTCCAGCTATTTAAACGAAAAGAACACTAACTACTCACTGTAATACTGCTCAAAATAAAAAACAACAAAACAACAACAAGAAAAGGATTCACATCCACTGGCATGTTAACTCGTGGGCAGGCAGCCTGCAGCCCTGGGCGGCAGCGCCCGCTGAGCCCGGAGCGCTCGGCACCGTGTTGTGTGTGTTCCCGCGGGCGCTCGCG